ATACCTAATGTTATAAGGAGTAACTTATTCTACATTTATTTTAGAAAAAGAATTAAGTTTCCGCGCAAAATAATTAAAACCCTAAATTACACGCGGGCGAAGTCGCGGGGAACAGCTAGTTTCAAATAAAAGTAGAAGCATTATTTACTTGTATTTTCAAAAACTGCAATAATGGTATATCATTATTTATATATTTGAATTTAAGTTTAAAATATGGCTACTCTTTTAAAAATAGCCCTGTATACAGTGGAGTAGCTATGTAATCAAGAGCTCAAACATAAGATTGGGGCCCTATATAAACTAGACTTAATACTTTATAGGTGCAAAACTACTTTATCTTCAGTTCCTTATCGCCCACTGCAAGACATAAAGCAAAGCTACTTACTACCTAGTATTATGTGTAACGCAGCAGATATTATTTAATCGTCCTACCTAAAAATGTTCTAAATGTGAAAGTTTGTTTGTTTGTTACACTCACGAAAGCTACTGGATGGATTTGGATGAAATTTTGCAGACGAATAGAGATCGACCTGGGTAAGACATACGATAATTTTATCCCGATAAAAGGGGCCCGTTGGATAATTTTCAATATTGGTCCAGACGAACGAAGTCGCGGGCGGAAGCTAGTAAATATTAAAGAGCCCTTTGACCTTGCGGGCCCCGGGGCATTAACCCGCCTAGCCCTACCATACCTACACCACTGACTGTATATACATAAATAAATGCATATTTACTAGGTGGAAGGAATTTTTTACTGTCTCGGAGTTAGGAGTCCGTCTGAGCATCTCTAACGGTACCCCTCTCTTATTACTGCCGCTAAGCATTGCTGTATTTCGGTGTAAAGGATATAAAGAGCAAGTGTGTAGTATTCCATCTTCAACCTCAGATTGGACAATGCATTTGTGTTTTCTTTGTATGAAGTTATGTTGCAGGTTGTATGAGGTCATGAGCTCTTTTATAGAAGAGGGGAAATATGTGCGAACTTCACGGTCTACCTGATGGTAAGTGGTTGCTGTGACCCATAGACATCCACATCTATCCTCAATAAAGAATCAAAATGCAGATGCGTTGTCACCCGTGAGGACTAAGATGGAATGCCTCTTTTCCAGTAAAAAGGGTCTCCGGTTCTCTACACTCACCATACGAAACACAGCAACGTTAAGCTGCTATGTTACGCTGGTATTCTGTGAGAGCATGGTCCTTCCCCGGTCGAGCCGACCCATTCGTGCTACAACTATACTACTAATATAGCTGCAGCATGGCTCTACCACGTATAAAAAAATGTAAATCTTCTTTCTGCTTCTTTATCAATCCGTAATAATTCACTGCTGGATATGGTTCTCTCTCGATATAGTGAGGATTCTTCTTAATAGGGACGCTTAGCAGGCGAATTGATGATCTCAATAGCTGACATCGCTGGCCTTTAACGTTGATATCACTGATCTGGATATTTTACGCCTGGTAAGGCGATCTTTCGGAAGGCATAAGATTTTTCTGATTTTTTTCCTCTAGTCGCCTCTTCGACACCCACGGGACAAAATGGAGTGATAGGTTTCCATACGCCGCTACCACATGACCCAAACAATGAATACTTAAATATAAATAAAAAATAAAATCATGTGACGTCAAAGCTTCTACCAATATTTTATAATATCATGAATCCAATAACGTAATATTCATGTCACAGTCCATATGCCAATATTCCAAGCAACTGGGCTCAGTTTAATATTCGGAACGCCGCGTATAATTATACATTGTCAATCTGTCGCCACACCGTCCGATATCCTTTGAAGCCGAATCCATAATACTGAATTATTAACCTAAATACAATGCAAATAAACTTTTGTATATCTTAACTGTATGCCCCTATACTACTTTTTAAAGGAATGATATCGCATCTGCAGCTTCTCTATGGTTCTTAAAAAGTTTAAACGTAAAACAACTTAATATACGAACACAGAGGAAAAAATTAATAAATAAGCAGACAAAAGCAAATTCTAATGTTTCTTTTGTGGTTCGCATTTTTCCACTTTCCATTCCTTCTTCACACGGATCCGGGAGCCTCAACATCTACTTCCATATTAACTTTACAAACAGTATTAAAAAACTATAATAAAGAAAAACTAAAACTAAAAACTTAAATGATCATCCAGTCATACTGCCCGTGGTACGATGCCAAGAACGCTGGCTACGTTTCCTCTCCGAATGGTTTCTTTTTTTATTATTTTAATTCGAAAATATTAGCACGACTATTACCAGCAGTTGATACACAAGTCTCAATTCTACATTAACTTGTATATTACAATAGTTTACATACACATACAAATGTTTGTATATTCAAATTTAGATTTTTATATCAATTAAAATAGCTAGACATAAAAAATTCTACTACATAGATTATCTGTGGTAAGTTTATTTTCACAGGATTTAAAAATTGCATCGGAGTTGAGCTTCGCTACGATAAGCCACAATGAGTACATATGTTTACGGTTGCAGATATTTAATTAAATAAAAATAAAATGTATGTTGAACACCATAGTGTAGATTCGTTATAACAATCCGAAACTACTCCAATTCAAACCGGCAAATGTCCGCTTTTGATTTCAAGACAGTTGTATTAATTTGAATTAATTCGGATTAGAGTGAGGGTGCGGCTTTCGACCTTGTACTGTGTCAATTAAGGCGGCTCCAGTTAACAATTTTAAACTTAAATGAAAGGGGATCTCGAAATGTTTTGTCATCTGAATGATGTCCCCTTTTTATGCAAATACGAGATCTGTCCCCGACTCAGAGTTTCGCGTGAATGCTTATAAAGGTCGCTGAGAGCAATTCATTTGGTTTGCGCGGGCGACTTAATGTTATTATTTGAATTAAGAATTTGGAAGTCGCCGAATTTAATTTACTTAAACAACTGTCTGACTTCTATATTTCTTATTTTGTTTTTTAAGTGAGCGGCAGTCTTGTTTGTGTAAACTTAAAACTGTCAGACGTTTTATTTCACCTATTTATTAACGTCAGCTCCCATACCTCCTAATAAAAGAGAGGAGTTTATTACTGCTCGTATATGTAACAAAAATATTTTCAAGACAATTGTTTTGGACTTCATTGATTTGTTTTTCGAAGGATTATAAAATTTTCTTAGTGGCCTGATATTAATTTCAAACAGATTTGTATTTAATTTCCATTTTCTTCTAATAATATGAGGTGCTTTATACCAGCTAAAAAAAAAGCTGGCCCAGAAGACGTTGGTCTTCAATTTTCAATATATAAATCGATGAATTTTACCCCAAATTCACTCAATAAATTCGCAATGTTTACCTATAACTCGACTGCAGTGTTACCTTCCTATGGGGCCTAGAATTTGTAACCGCTTCTGATGCTGCCCCGACTCTAAACGAGGTATATCTCTGAAATTGGATATTGCCAAAGTGTATACCATCGGAATATCACACTGTTACTATAAAGGTATCTATTATTAAACATTTTGTTAAATAAATCACTGACACTATGCACCAAGCAAGGAAGGCAGGCTATGCAACGCTAGAAAGATTTCTCAAACCGATATCTCCAAATTTTATAAATAAACTAACTTGATTCCAGGCTGTTGTATTTAAAAATAAAATTAAGAATGTTTCTGTAACAATTTCAAGATTAATATCAATTTATTTTAATTTTCACGCTGCAGACTCGAGCAGAATAACTTTGTTATACATAAAAATAAAGAAGATTTGAAATAAAGTCGCATCCATTATTTATTCTTTTTTTTAAAGATTTGACAAATGGACTGTACTTAAAGGGGTCCTCGTAAAATTCGTGAGCTTTAAGAGAAGCTTTTTAATTATTTAAAAAGCTTCGCTAACAGCCTTAACGGGTGAATCATCTTTAAAAAAATACTTGATATTGTTTTAATTGTAATTATTTTATTTTAATAAACTCCCAGAAGACTACGAATTAATTCTGACGTCAGGTTTTTTTGAAATGTTTATATTTTATTCTATTTTAGTTACTATGAGATTTAATGGTTATAATTATTATTTTTTTTGCTCTTTTGTACCCTTCTGATGTCGAGTTCAGACATAAGCCAATGTGCCAATGTCAGTGTCAATGTTTTTTTAACTAATATAATAGCGATTCGGCAGGTGTTGTACTACCCTCAAAATAAAAAAAAACCCGAATTCACTCAATTACACAAAAATCTTCAAACTCTGTCCAGCCGTATATATATATATATATATATATATATATATATATATATATATATATATATATATATATATATATATATATATATATATATATATACATATATAAATCCAGGTATCCAGGGGTATACGTTTCCTACACTCACCATACGAAACACAGCAGCATTAAGCTGCTATTTTACACTGGAATTCCGTGAAAACGTGGTCCTATCCCGGTTGAACTGACCCATACGTGGTACAACCATAATATAACTGCAGCGTGGCTCTACCACGTAAACGTCTCAGCGACCTTGACATATTCGGAAATATTTTAAGTTCCTTAAAAATGTAATGACAGCGTAATAGAATCCACTACCGCTTATCATCACATGGGTATACTGAGGGGTGACAGCGGGAAAATGAGGTGGACAGCAGCAACTTCTTGATAACTCGCAAAATAATGAGAAAACTCAAGTCAAGGCGCCTGCCAAGTGTGGCAAACTATAGAAAATATGCTTCTATGATGCCCTTAATGGGCAGGCATGTTCAGCAGTGGACTTTTGATGTACAGAAAAGAATAATTGACATATAGGTTTCCTCACGATCACGCAGTAAACCATATCTTAGGATAACAATTAAATTTCAAAGATGCTGACAGAATTAAGTTAAAATCATAGTAAATGTCTTCAAATGTGATAATATAATGGTCATTATTATAAGTCAAAGAATATTCAAAAGGAGTAAATAAATTTTATAGTAAAATCATACAATATTACTAACCTAAATATGAAATGATAAATATCAAGGTATTGTTCACAGGGGTTTGCCTGATAGAACATGCGAGTGGACGCACTACGGACAAGGTCACAAACCACAACAACTCCTATACTAGTTACGGACTCTTTCAGGTGAGCAAAATTACTAAAAATGAAAATAATCTTAGTATAGTTCTTTCCAACGCTGCGAACTGTGATCCAGCAATCCTGCTGGTTCCTGTATTATTTTTCCTACAAGTATGAAAATAGGATTAATCTAAGTCTCGAATAAGATGAGTCAAACTTTTATTATTGATCAACGTTATGGTCTGGAATATTCAGAAGTGTTTTTGAATTTTGTTGTGTAAAATTGAACAAAATTCGTACATCTGTTAGAATATTTAAACTTAATCTTATAATAGGCATATACTTAATATTATAGATAAGTCTCACGCTTAACGGTATACAGTCGAGCATTATAATGAAAGTTTAAAGCTGATGTCGTACTTTCATTCATACATCGTTAGACAAATTGTCATTTATGACGTTGATGATAGTAATGATATTAATCATAAGTTAGTTACTTAAGAACTATAAGACTCGTATATATACGTATCATCCTTTCTTTGTTGAAATAATTGTTTTGCTAATTGTATGGTATACAGAAAATAATTTATTCTAATCAGAATTAGCTTAAGGCTCCGAATTTATTAATATTATAATATGGATAATTGACTAATTAACTAAGAAGGTAAATTCCGGTAATAAACTAAGTGATATGTGAAAGTTTCATCATCATCATCATTACAGCCCTTCACAAGTCCACTGCTGAACATTGGGCCTCCCCCAAGGAATGCCACAAAGCCCGGTTCTGAGCCACCTGCATCCATCGACATCCTGCATGTCTTAACAGGTCATCACTTCATCTAGTGGGGGGTCACCCTACACTTCGCCTACCGGTACGGGGCTGCCACTTGACAACCTTTCTTCCCCATCGATTGTCGGTTCTACGAGATATATGACCGGCTCATTGCCACTTCAGCTTACTAATTCTTTGGGCTTACTCAAAATCTCATGTGGAAAACGATAATGGAAATGATGCTGCCATACTCGGCCTTCAGCTTCGACAGATATACTTGTATTGTGACACTTTGTGCTACATTAATGATTTTTGTGTGACTAGCGACCAAAGTCACATTGGAAGATTCCGGATCTTTTTTTTTTAATCACGACAATACAGCATCGTACACATCTGCGAAAACACTCGACGTTTGTTATTCAAAAATCTGTCTATCCTACCTTCTCCACCATAGACCCCTGGGATAATAGTCACAAAGCGCATAACGAGGTGTTTTTAACCTACTTCAAAAAAACCTAAGAAAAATCAAAAGGCAAAGAAGGGGTTTGAAAGCAAAGGAGACGCTGCCTGCTTATATTATCAAAATAATATCTGAGAATGTCTAAAGAAAAGTCGTGAGACGTATTCCCCAAATGGTGGGGACGAATTTAAAAGTATATTACTGCTCAATGTGAATAATTTGAAAAGACAGAAAAGATCTAATATATAAAAAATAATTTTTGTTTGTGCGTATTTTATGCGCTGCCAAACCATTCATCAGAAAGCTTACACTTACGCGAAGGTTATAGGCATAGTACAACTAACTTTTATTAGAGGCCCGCGTGTCGTACAGAAAAAAATATTTAAAAGTTATATATCATTCAATTTCAATGAATGTATTATCATCATTCCCAATTAAACAATATAATATGATTTCGCACGTGGTAGAGCCATTATGCAGCTATATTATTAGTATAGTTTTAGCACGAATGGGTCGACTCGTCCGGGGAAGGACCACGCTCTCACAGAATACCAGCGTAAAATAGCAGCTTAACACTGCTGTATTTCGTATAGTGAGTGTAGAGAACCGGAGACCCTTTTTACTAGAAAAGAGGCATTCCATCTTAGTCCTCACGGGTGACAATGCATCCGCATTTTGTTTCTTTATTGAGGGTAGATGTAGATGTATATGGGCCACAGCAACCACTTACCATCAGGTGGACTGTGTGCTCGTTTGTCACCCTATCCTATAAAGAAAATATATATATAATATCTTGTGCGGCAGCAACGCGCCGCGTACCAACAAGTTAAGAATAAATATTATATTTTGTAACGCTTTTATATCTTTCCTGAATTGTCATTACATATCTACATTACTTAGAGTAACAAAAACTTAAATAATACTCGTAATTAAACCTACCCATTACAACAACGTTTTTCGCTAAATCGTTCTACCTAAGCTCCGCCATCTTTGGTAAGACTGTGGTAATAAATTACAACAAAAAGGGTTTCACATTTTTCTTTATGTTTAGTCCATTTTTTGACTACTTAACGTAATGAGATTATATGATACTTCTTCTTCATTTCGATTCGTTATCGTAGGTATATGTTTAAAATTAATAAAAACGGCAAAAGTGCCTGAACTGCGCTTCAATGCGCTTTCATAGAAGAAAGTCTGTGCATTGTGGGCCGTATCTTATAATATAAAGCCTGATATTAAAAATAACGTAACGCTCATGCACCAACTTTGTGCGGGAAACAATAACGTGAATTTTATTATATTTTTTAAGTTATTCCTGTCTACTATTATGGCAAGAAAGTTGGTACTTTTCTTAAGTCAGCAAGCATTATTGGCACTTCTACGCAAGGAGTAAAGCAATATAGTAATAAGTCTGTGTTATTGGTGCTATTATTTGATGGCAATGTAAGAAATGTATGTGTACGAGTCTGTGGTGGTGCTAAAAGCCACCACCTTTTTCGTCCCTTGGATGTCATTCGAGGCAACTACGAAAAAGTTCATAAAGATATGATAGCCTCCTTTACAGCCTATTAAACTTCCCTGCTGAAAATAGGCCTCCCCCTTAGATTGCCTCATAGGCATTCATAGTTGGCACGCTTGACAAACGGGTTAGAAACCCAATTTTATATTTTTAGTCGTAATTAGGAAGACGGTGCTGCCGATCTCCTCATTTGTTTCCGTTTACCCATGGGATGGTAAGGGGTAGTGGATATTCTTATTCGTAGTACACCGCCAGCCTCATGATGATGGATTTATACCATCTTATTAATCCATCTTCATTCATTTTCATCAACCTTCATCGCATTTATTTTATTTTTATTGAAAAAAATACTAATTCAGCCGTGTAAGGAAAAGGGCAGATATTCCGCTCGGTAAGATATTTAGCCCATTCAGTGGTTCACGAAATTATTGGAATGGTTTATTAGCAACTACGGCTTCTAGTTTGCATGATACATAGGTAAAGTTGAAGGTGCGAGATATGAGGTGCTGCGGTAACCAAGCCACCTGCCAAGCGAAGAGAATACGGAAAATCTAATTAAAAATGGTCCAGGCTTTCATGCTGGCTAAAGGAAAAGATATCGGCATATAGTTGTAAATGAAATATCATTTGGTTGCAGTGTAAGTAAAACCATCGCCACATTTCGTCCCAAGTGCTGTCAGAGACGACAATGGGAAATACCAGAAAGAGGTATTATGGTGGTATACCAACTCTATTACACCAGACCTGAAATACCCAGATCGGCAATGAACTGCAGCGTTAAAGGTTCGAAACCTCTGATACTGCGATCGTCAGTTACTATTTAATAATGCACTAAATAATAAATCTAATGTATATCATAAATAAAGCATTATTATTATTATTATTATCAGTCGGTACGAATTTGGAGGATGGGGGCTAGGCGAAAAAAAGTGTAAGATTTTTTCGTCTCGAGTGACCTCTTCTGACGTAGTGTAGACGGTCTTGGCGGCTATAAGGAAACAAGATGGAATAATATCCATCTCCTTCGCACTTTTTCTTATCTTGCCATGTAAGAAATATTATTTTAAATGACGCTTCATTTTAATAGACGCTATTAATTCATTTATTTGTATTTGTTAATCAATAATAATAAGTTTATTAGTAATAATATAATACGAAAGGAACTTTGTTCCAACCAATTGTTCCACGACACCCACGCATGTTTTTTTTTAAATAAAACTGAAGTAAAAAACCAACTTACATTCCACCTGATGGTAAGTGGCTACTGCAGTCCATGGACACCTATAGCCTACAGCTACAGATTCCTTTTCACCTCTGAGGACTGCGATCGAATGTCCACAACCTGTTATTATACTGGCTCTCAGAGACCTAAAACCAGAGCACAGCAGTACAAGCACTGGATATTTCGCGGCAAAGTTAAGTAAGTGGGTGGTAACAGACCAAACCCTAGGTAGATTTGGAGTTATAACTACTATTAAATATAACATTTGATATGGTCCCAATAAATAATCGACGAAAATATGATAAACACCTCATTGCCTCTGAGAGATAGCGGTTCTTTATTCATTCATTAAAGCCTATCAAAGTCCATTGCTGAACATAGGTAACCCCCGTAGATTGCTTCAGGAGAGTTATTTTCCATATTTGCCACGTTTAGCAGGCAGAACACAAGCGCAGTTTTTTATTAATTTGAGTGGTTATTAGGAAGATGCTGTTTCATTTGTCTGTATTTTCTCTCACTCACAGGTTTTTATGGGGTAGTAGTTTCTCTTTTGCCACGACTACACGGCAACACTAGATGGTGATTTACCATCTCGTATATGCCAGATATAAAATAGTTAGGGAGATCTAAAGCAGTGTTTAAGGTAATGTGATCTTGACCACCTTGCTACGTTTATCGATTAATTTAAATCTGAGTGGCTCATGTCTGGTTTGATGGGTATCACAAGGTAAGTATTATAAAATTAAACAACCTGTAAATTTCATCTTAGTCCTCAGAAGTGACAACGCATCCTTTCCATCCTTCCAACTTTATTCGGAGTTAGTTACAGGTCTCCATAGACTGATGTAAGTTTTTAACATCAGGTTGGGCTATTAGTCTTAGTATTATTAGAGACATTCCATCTTAGTCCTCACGGGTGACAACACACCTGCATTTTGATTCGCAAACGAGGATAAATGTAGATGTCTATGGGCCACAGCATTCACTTAACATCACGTGGACTGTGTGCTCGTTTGTCACCCTATACTATAAAAAAATAGTCCATTTGACACTCAAATGTGTAAATATAGAGGAATCCTCGTAAAGAGTTACA